TCATGTGCCTATCCTGGTATGTTAGAGCCACAACTGAGGTGTGTGTGGGAAGGAACAGGCACGCGTCTCTTTGTGGTGGCTCTTTGTGTAGGGTGGGATTAGACGACATTCAGAGAAGGGTAGGGAGGAGGCTTTCTTTGTGTCTTGTATATTTAAAAGTTATTTTAAACTTTACATACAGTAAAATTCTCCCTTTTTGCTGTTAAGTTCTGAGCTTTAACATATGCTTAGATTCTTAAAATTGTCAGGGATAGGATGCAGACAAGGGTTCATACGCTAAAGAATTCGCTTGTCCTGCTCCTGCGTGATAGGCTCTCCAGCCACCTCTGGTAAGATCCGATCTGTCTTCTTCCCGATTTCATTGTCTAAGGAGCATGTGGGAGGGGTCACTGTGCTAGGAGGCTTTCAAAGGTAAGGAGACTGGGGAGTCTCTATCTGAACTTTTCCTCCATAGTGAAACGCCCCCATTTCTGAGAGAGTCACAGACACGGAGGAACACAGGAAGGCCAGGAAACAGGTCAGAGGGCTAATAACACTCTCAGGAAAGGGCTGAGGAGGGAAGGCTAAGGCTAAAAAAAGAACCTAAGTGTGAGCAGAGATGACTTTCCTAAAAAAAAAAAAAATTCAAGATATGTGTTAGGCATTCTTCCAAAAGAATCAAACTAGACCCAGGAGATTGACTCCAGGCCTTTGGGCATGCGAAGTGGTCCTGTTTTGTTTTTGTTTTTATTTTTAATTAATTAATTAATTTTTTTTTTGTCAGCTTGGCAGACACTAGGGTCATCTGGGAAGGGGGAACCTCAATTGGGAAAAAGCCTCCATCAGATTGGCCTGTAGGCATGTCTGTGGGGGCATGTCCTTGATTGATACAGGAGGATCCAGCTCACTGCGGGCAGTACCACCCCTGGGCAGGTGGTCCTAGGAGGTGTAAGAAAGGTAGCTGAACACAAGTCTGGAAGCAGGCCAGTAAGCAGCTTTTCTCCATGGCCTTGAAAGGGAAAAATCAGTAGCCATCTCGAGAGACGCCCCTCACCCCCACTCCTGCCTCCTCTAAAGGTATTTGCTGACCAGCAGTTTTAGAACTGACCAAAAGTTGAACTCATGGGAAGATAAGGCTGAAACAATAAATCTATATATCCTGGGCTTGGTAAAACAGGATATGGGGAGTAATGGACTCGACCGACCAGAAATTGAACTTATGGGAAAATAGGACTGGAATAATAAATCTGAATGTGTATATCCTGGATTCAGAACAGCAGGACATGGGGAGTAAAAAATTTATGTCTCTGTAGATACCCTGAATCCTGTTAGCCATCAGTAACCTCATGCTTATAGTTCAGCCAGTAACTTCAACGAACTACCTCACCCCTAGCCCCCTCATCCAATCCCAAGCTGCATGTAAACCTTTCCTATATAAACCCCTTAAAGTGAGTGCTCGGGGTGGTTCTCCTCCACCCGCTGTGTCAGATGTTGGACTCGTGGACCAAGCCCCGGACTTGTTTTGTTACTAAAAATGCTCTGTGTGCTTGCATTGGATATCAGCTCTGTGGTGGTCTTGCTTGGGGGTCTTGCGACCTGGGCACCACAGCCTCTGCTTCCGGTCCTACCTCCCAGTTCCTGCCCTTCCTGAGTTCCTGCCTTGACTTCCTTTAGTGATGAACTGTGATCAGGATGTGTAAGCTCAATAAATCCTTTCCTCTACAAGTTGCTTTTGGTCATGGTGTTTTATCAGAACAATAAAAAGCAAATTAAAGCACGAGATATAAATCTCTCTACCCCCTTAAAAACATTCCTTTGAGGCAGGGTATTGCTAGACTGTAGTGGCTGGCCTCCATCTTGCCACTGGCATGCCCCTGCCTCTCAGTAGCTAGAATTACAAGCATGTGCCAATATATCAGGCTCACAGCAAGCTTTTTCTGTGTTCTAGAATTTTTCAAAACAAGACACTGCCACCTTTTACAAACAATTCCTACCAAATGTGTGGAAAGCTGTGTTCCTGACCTGTAATTTAGACTCCGAGATGGATTGGTGTAACGGGACAAAGGATGGTGTCTTGGAAAATGAACAAGCTGGCTAACCCTAGGCCATTTTCCCCTCATGGCGGATCAGCCAATTGTGGCTCAGGTCTATAAAGAGGCCTGCTCTGAGTTGAGGAGCATGCACACGTGCGTGCACACACACACACACACACACACACACACACACACACACACACACACACGCACACAACTGCGCTTGTGTAACTACTTCATCATAGCCTCCTGATGTCTAGTCCTTTGGCAGACAGAGCTCCTGGACTCATTACAGTCATTCCTGTGCCTCTTGCCCTCATGCCACGGCTGAAAAGTTTACTCCTCCCTTCAAAGGGAACACAGGGTGTGGAAGGGCAGGGCCAACATCTGTGCTGGGGACAGAGCAGCCGGAGATATGGGGGCAGCTTAGAACTGTGTACCCACCTGGGACATTCAACACTCACTTTATGGCACACCCCTGGGAGGGGGGTGGAGGCATGGCAGCCTATCTGTGAACTCGGGGCAAAGTCCCTGCCAGCACCAGGGAGTCGATAGCAAGACTTAATTATCTGTAGGAAACAGATGAACATGGCCATTTAAATCTTTCATTATCTATATGTTTTATGTGGGTGAAATTGCCTCCAGCTGCTATAGTTTTGGAACAGTGAGGATGAGTGTAGAAGTCAAACTAATGAACGAAGCCACGGACAGAGCTGCGGAGTGTGGGGACAGTGTGGGGACAGTTTCACAGGTGAGCCTCAACCACACAGACCTGAGATTCTGCTCTGGTCTGTCTGAGGCACCCTGCAGACCCCCAGGTGGGGTTGAGGAGACGGGACCAGGCAGCGTGCTAGTCATGACCCCTGTCTCTCACATCTCACACCCTCTGGGCCGATGGGTTCCTAACAGACTGTGGCTAATTCCTATTCTTTTCTATTCTTAGGAAAACACAAACCATTCCCCGTGCTGAGTAAAAGAACCCAAATGCATTCACTTTGGGAACCAGTGGCTATTTCTATGGGCTGGAAAATGTCAATGTACAGAGACGAGCAAGCTAACTGTATTACTGAAGCAAGGTCCTCACAAAATGAAGACAGTTTCACCTTCTATGTAAGTCAGAGCAACGCACAAAATACAAGGTTCACTGCACACCATCCCAGGCACATTTCTTTATTTATTTAGGAGACTGGATCTCATTACTTAGGTCAACCTGGTTTCCGACTCATAATCCTCCTGCCTCTGCCTGTCCTGGACATTTTATAGGGTCAAAGAGGCCAAACGTAATTAAGGGGCCAAACATTGCCCCTCCAACCCAAAGCTTCTCCCCTTTCAGCTCTAGCTGTGACCCTGAGTTCTACTCATTCACTAGGCCCTTGAGAGACATTTCCAGTCCCGGACCATGGAAGCAGATGGTGATGATATCAAACTTTCACCTACGAAGCAATTCTCCTTGCCATTAAAACAGCTTTCTGAATCGCTCTACAGCTGCCTCAATGACACACCGAAAACGTGCAGAGCGGATCATCACCTAGGACTTGACCCTCCCCTCAAACTCTCCCTTGACACAGTGGCAAGGAAATCATCACAAATTCATGACTGAGCCAATAGGCTCAGGGACCAAGAAAGCTACCCTCCCTCCAAGGTGCTGGGATCGTCCAGCATCCCCTAGGAACTCAAAGTGACTTATTTACCTAATGCTTTACTAACTTCTTACGTGGACACAGAAAACACCAGTTTATCTTTGAGCCTGTGTTGATGATGTTTCCTTGAGAGCATTTTTTCCTGTGTCTGCATCTGCTTTTTCAGGGTTCTGGATTTCTCAAGAGAGGCACCAAGCTCGGCTTCCTCTCTGTCCCACAGTACGGTACTTAAACGGACTCCCGGACTTACAGGAGCTTCTTAAAAATAGAGGGAACATTTTAAAATAAACTTTGCGGCGGAAAAACTGTTGCTAAGTTTCCCAGTCTCTCTGTTAAATGCATAAGTGTGTATGGGGACACACACACACACACACACACACACACACACACACACACAGGACTCACTAGTTGTATAGTTTTATTTTCCATTAATATCGTAAATCTGCAATGAGTGGCTTCTATAATTGGGTTGCAGACACTCACTTCCAACAGATTTCTTTTGATCTGGAGCATCATAAATAAATCAAAGAGGGATCCAAATCATTTATTTTGTCTCTGTTCATCTTAAAGACCATTTCCTTTAAAGAAGAGTGTTCCAAACCTAACATCATCTCCCTTAGGGGACAGGAAGCAACAGCTGACATTCTTATGACTCCAATCATGCACAGCATGATTTCCACGTGAGGCGAGCTGCAGAGGCCCGATTAGGGTAGGGGAAGAAGCTTTTCCTTAGGGGATAAGATCAGAAGAACTCTTACAAGCCAGAAGGAGATCAGACCCAGGGAAAACCTGCATCAAAATTAGCACCCACATTGTCGGCTTGCTGAGACCCAATGTAGGAGAAGCATTTGCATCACCCATTTAGAGCCTGGGAGTATTCTGCAAAATCAGTTTTTAGATTTTCTTACTATGTCTATATATATGATTTTTCTCCATCACACAACATTCTGGTATTGGACTGCCTATCTTCATTTTAGTCCCAATTCCTTTAAATTGTTTATTTTTATTTGTGTGTATGGTGTTTGTAGCATGTCATGTGCGAGTCCATGTGCCTGCAGAAGTCAGAAGAGGATGTCAGAACCATGAATCACTGAGCCATCACACTAGCCCCGCTACTGTGGTGCTGGTGATTGAACCCCAGGTCTGTGTAGGCATGAGTGACAGCCTCGGCTTCCTCTCAAACACATCAGCGGATCTAAGAAAATTTGATTTTTCTTCCATTTGTCTTTGTACTAAGGTCCGCGCCTATCTGTACCGGTTTCATGAGCGTCCCAGCAACACATTCCCTGCAAACAATGTTTTCCCTCGGACCCATCTATTCCCAACAACGACCCTGGAAGGCTCTTACCAGCTCCCTGGTGGGGCGACTTCTCCTTCCTGGGCTCGGGAGGCAGGATGACCGGTATGAGTCTCTCAGATTCCCCAGGGCTGGCATCCAGGCCTGCAGGTGGGTACGGCAGGGTGAGGCTCGGCAGGAGAGGCTTCCTGGGCAGGGGTGGCTTGGTACTGGGCTGCTCAGGAGACCTGGACTTCCCTTTCCCTTGCCCATTGGGGGACCTGGAACTTCGCAGTGCAGGGGCAGCCCCGGCATGGCTCTGTTCATCCTTGGGGAGCAGAGTCAGACCTCCTCTCTCCAACCTGACTTCGGCGCTGTACCTCTTGATGGCTTTCGCCTCCTGGGCAGAGCCGTCTCTGTACTTGAGTGAGAGCGAGGTGGACCGTAGCTTGACTGGGAAGGGGTTCTGGTCCTCTCCAGGGGCTGGCTCCTTTACACAAGGATCAGCATCCTGGAGGCTCCTGCTTGGTCCTGCCTGGCCGGCCCCCATATCCCCTGAGACTTGAGGGTCACCACCCGTAGTCTTTCTGTCCTGGGGCTCTGGCAGCACCTGCAGGTCATCAAGAGCTGCCTCACTCCTCCAGGCAAGGCCACTCCGTAGTAATGGTGCACGGCCCCCTGCAGGCGCATGGCCGGAATGTTCCGGAAGGCGAGAGCTGCTGGCCCGGGCACGCGCTCTGCTTGAGGTCACGGAGAACCTCTTAACGCTGCGCTGTGGCTCAGTACTCCGCTCGCTCTTCTTCCCCACGGCTGCCTTCTCTGGACCCCCTGATGTCGCAGCCTGTGCAGGCCTGGGGCGGGCCGGGGGCACAACTGCTCTGTCCTGGACTCCAGGGCTGGGGTCTTTCAGAGGCGACTCTGCGGGGGACCCACCGGAGGCCAACGCCTTGTGCTTCAGGCAGCTCTTGGGTACCGGTGGGCTCGGGGAAGGGGCTGTGGAGGGCTCCGTCCCTGCTCCCTCAGGCCTGGGTACCACCAGGGTCAGCTCCTCCTCCTTCTGGACACTTTGGTCCTGTCCCTCTGTATCTGAGGGTATCTCCAAGTTGGTGTCAGCGACAGTCTCAGGAGTTGGTGACTCTCCCTTTGGAAGTATTGTGTCCCTATTGGGAGGTTCCATGATCTCTTTGGGGGGTGCCATGTCTCCATTGGAAGGTGACATGTCTGTGTCTGAAGGTGCCATGATCCTCTTGGGAAGTGCCACGTCTCCCTTGGAAGGTGACATGTCTCCCTCTGGAGGTGACATGATCCTCTTGGGAGGTGCCACATCTCCCTTGGAAGGTGACATGTCTCCCTCTGGAAGTACCATGATCCTCTTGGGAGGTGCCACATCTCCCTTGGAAGGTGATGTGTCTCTCTCTGGAAGTGCCATGATCCTCTTGGGAGGTGCCACATCTCCC